TTTAGTTTATGCTTTTCGTTAAATTTATTATTTAGTTAATTTTTTAGTAATGCGCGATATGTGTGTGAGGCATCTCACCGCCTACTTAAGGTGGAGGCACGTGATGTGCTATGTATGGATGTATGATTGTAATAGTTGGTTAATGGTAAGATGAACCCCCGAGCGGTTGAGCCACTACTGGACGCGGTAGATGGTCGAATCTCTGCTGGATGGCGAGACGTAACGCAACAGTTGATCGAGTATGTTGGGGTCACTACTGGACGGCGAGACGTAACGCGGTTGGCATACTAGGGTAGGGACACCAGACAGCGAGACGTAATGCGGTGGTCCCTGGTATTGATGTCTATGAGTTAAGGATAGAAGTAGAGAACTTCTATAAGCTAGTAGAGAGAATGATTGTTTAAGAGTAGAAAGCGAGAACGACTTTAGTGATAGAAATGAAACTCTAATAACGTGTTTAGTAGGGAGTTTGCCTAGGGCAATTACCTTAGGAAGTAACGACGAGACTGGCCCCTTCTCACTCACCAGGTTTAGGAAGGGTTAACAGAGGTGGACTTCGAGAAGAGGCAAAGTGAGGCGGGAAGCCGCTCCAGAGTGGACAAGATCGATGGGACCTCAGCGAGGAGTTAGAGCTATAGTTATTTTCATTATTTTTGTTCATGATTATGAGTATATAAACTGGAGATTCGAAGTTTTGAGTTTGAGTGGTATTGTTGACCATGGATTGAGGTCGCCCAACTTTTTGGGGCATTTCATTTGAATTTCTTGTGGAAAGGAGTTGGATTTATTTATTTCATTGTGGTTTTTGGACACTATTTCGGTCAGCTCCGAAGCCATGAGTATTTCGGTTTGATTAAAAAGTATCGGGTCGTTACATTCATCCTGGACCTTATTACACAGAGGAGGATTGGTTTAGCTCAAGTGGATAAAGGATTTACTTGTTCAATAACCCAAATTCTCCACTGAAGGTTGTCATTCCACCACTACAAAGTTTCTTGCTACTTCTCAACTCAATTTTCAGCCTCAAAGTTTTGATCTCTGGCATGCAAGATTGGGTCATCCTTACATTTCTAGAATAGAAACTATACATAAACAAAATCCTGATGTATTAGTTTCTAAGATTATCCATTGTGTTGTTTGTCATTTGTCCAAACAGAAAAGATCCATTTACAATCAATGCCTCTGTTCATCCTTCTTTGTTTGGTATACTTCATGTAGACATTTGTGGGACTTTGAGTACAACCCCTTATAATGGCTTTAATTACTTTTTAAGCAGTGGGTCGACCCCCGAGTGAACCCGGATTAACCCTAACCCGGTGAGGAAATTGAACCACACACACTTGTTGGTCGACCCGCAACAAGATTTCCAGTTTGAGGTCACACGGTGTCATTTTCCTATTTGGTTTGCGAATTGTGCCTCTTTTTCTGTTTTCCCCTTCACTGAACCCTAACTTTGGATTTCTAAATTGAACATTTGAATATTGATGTTATATGAGTGTGTTTGAATATTGATGACAGAGACCGAAATAATGACGTTTTGGATGAGACTGACAGTACAGGATTTGGCGACCACCAACGATGTCGGATCTCTCCCGATTGTGACGATGACCGCGATTGTAAGCAAAATGTTCGATTGGTGACGAGTCATCGATGAAGTTGGACAAGCTACAAGTGATGGCTTTCAACGGCGATGGCGGTACATGACGACGACGGTCGATGACGAGACGGTGGATTAGCGACGTCGGGGGCGGCCAGACTTTCTGCTGGGCTGGAGAGCCAGCGTTGCACAAAGGTGGACCGGCGCTAATGAGAAGATCGTGTCAAACAAACCCAAATCTGACTAAAATCGGGGATTTCGGTGGTGGATGAAGAACGGAACGAACTTCAAGTCTTCAACGTTGTCACGGAGAGGCAACAGATGCAGACCGATGGAAGCTCAAAACCCTAAACAAGGCATCGAGTTTCGCTCTGATACCATGAAGAATTTGATAAGGCGGAAGTTGAAATAACACACGAGACAAACGATTTTACATAGTACCCTCGATCGATTGATTGATCGAGAATAATCCACGGTGAGCTCGAAAGAGCTCACGGCTGAAGTTTTATTAGAGACGACTACATTGTGACGGCTTGCATACGACATGACCGTAGATAAGCTTCTATAGAGATAGATATAGGGTTCAAACTCTAATGACAACCAAGTTCCTTCTTTTACCGGGATAAGGAAACAAAGGAGTTGGAGAACAAAGAATTAATTACTTTTTGATTAAGTAATTAATATCCTCAACACCACCATCCGACACTCCTTCCATTTACCTCTATTTTTAATCAAAAATTTTAATATACAGTGAAAATACAACAATATAAGCAGTTTCTCACTATTAGATTAAAAAGCCCATATATGGTTGGGATGAAGCTATTCATATGATTAAGATCTCCCCTAGTCACTTGATTCTAACCCTGCTTCCCACCTTAGAGATCGGTTTCTCCCCTAGTCACTTGATTCTAACCCTGCTTCCCACCTTAGAGATCGGTTTTGTTCCGAGTCAAGTTCGTATAACACCAAATAAAAGATAAGAGAAAAACAATAACTATGACTGAAAAGCATATTTTCCCCAGCTCGTTACTCTATTTTCTTTACATCTAAGATAATTCAATAATTCAAGGATTGAAACCAAGGGAAACTATACAATTCAGAGTTTAGGATAGAGTCAGTAATCATTGGTTACTGATATATGAGTAACTAAACCTGAACCTTTAGATCTAAGTGGGTCCAAAAAATCCAGATCTAAGGGTTGTCAATTAAAAATATTTTATTTTCCCTAATTTTCGTAATCGACTTTTATCTTCTTCGTTCTAACTCGGATTTCAATATTTTGTGCACAGATGGAACGAGTTTGCTGTCGTCTACAAAATGAGATCGATTTTCAATATATTTCGAAACACTTTTTTTTTTTGTCAACTACATACCATATGGTAACTTCTTCGTTTTTAAGTCGTTTTTGAAAAAGTTTGCTTAGAAGGAACGAGTTCATTATGATCTATTGGATCTACGAATTTCTGGGTGAAAAAAATACTGGACCAAAAATTAGCATACTTTACCACTATGGTATGTAGGGTAGGGGTGGGCAAACGTTTCGGTAAACCCGAACCGAAACCGAATAAATGTTATTCGGTTCGGAATTCGGAAGGAAAATATGGATAGTTCGGAAATCAGGGTTCTTTCAACCGACCCGAATTTCCGACCGAAAAACCGAAATACTATAATTGCAAGCTCCAAATGGTGGATTTTTATGTTTGTAGTTGTTTTTAGACTTAAATATTTGAAATGTTTTATGACTTATGTGTTGAAAAGTTTGGTTTTATCATTGCTGATGCATATAATTGATATTTATTGTTTATATTAGGGGTGAAAAATAATTTAAAAGTGAGAAAATACAAGTAGCTTCACAAATTCGGTTTTGTGTGAAAAATCAAACCGAACCAAATTATAGTTTGGTTTAAACCGACCGAACCGAATTATAATTCGGTTCGAATTCGGTTTGATGTTTGGAAAAATTCGGGGACCCGGTATTCATAATTTTGGTTCGGTCGAAACTGAACCAACCGAATGCCCACCCCTAATGTAGGGATGGCAACAAAACCTGAACACACGGGTACCCACTCGACCCAACCCGGTCAACGCAGGTAAAATCCGTGTTGACGAGTTTTGGGCCGGGTTTGGATTTAAACCCATTCACTATTCACCTGGTTGGGTATGGGTTTTGGTAAACCCGACCCATGGGTACCCGCCCACACTCATATAATTAATTTTCTCGATATATTTAATATTCTAAACAACTAATCTTATTTATGTTTGTGGAGACATGTCTACTTTTTTTCTTTCTAATTGTGTAGAATGAAGTTGATGTTATCGAGTAGAGAGTGAAGAAACTTAATTGTAAGGAAGAAGCTTTCAATTAATCATGTTATTTATGAATAATTTGTAATTTGCTTCAATTATCTTGAGTTTTCTAGATTGGTGTTGAACAATTTGTATAGTTAATATTTGATTTGCTTGAATTTTCTAGAATGGTGTTTTATATATGGATAATTTGTATTGAGAGATTGATATTTGACTTTAATTTTGATAGGAACTTGTTATTGTAAATTTTTTACGACAAAAACCCGTGGGTACCCATGAACCCGCGGATACCCAGCGGGTTGGGTTGGATTTGAGTTTTTCAAACCCAGTGGGTTTTACCCCGGGTTTTTTCACGGATAAACCCATGGGTATGGATTTGGTTTTGGCAAAACCCGACCCAACCCGACCCATTGCCATCCCTAATGGTATGTGGGTGGTAACTTATGGTAACTTGTAGTAAACAATGATGAAAGTCGTAAATGACAGTTAGTATACTCCTACTATCATGTATTCAACCTTCTTACCATATTGGTATGTTCATACCATCATGGTACTCTTTCTTACCATATGGTATTAAATAGGAGCATATCATATGGTAATGACTGGTAAAAAATTATTCAATTTTTTTTATACTAAAAATATATCAAAGTGGATATATCCACATTTTAAAGAACACATTTAATCTGATTTATCTGTGCAAAAAAATTAAATTTCGACTTAAAAAAAGAGAGAAATCGTCCGTTAAAAATTAAAGAGGAAAATATAAAAGACTTTCTAGAAGAGAGATACTGATGTCATGCTGAGGTGGACAAGTTTCTCATGGTTACTGATCATAAGATTACTGACCTGATCCGTTCCCATAATTCGGTCAAATGTCAATTCAATCTGGTACGAATGGTTGCACACGTACTTCCCAGATTTGGAAGCCACTAATGGGTACGGGAGTCAAAAAAGAAAGATAATCCTCCGCAAGAACTTCAGAGCTGGTGGCAAATTCATAATTTTTTTAGTCGACGAGAAACTGCAGCATTCTACTTTAGAGAGAGCACTGTAAAGTGCAACTCATAAGTAGTACAATCGGTCTTTGTTCTTTTTTCGGTTATTTTTTGTCTTTCATAACTTAGTTACTTAGTCTACGCATTGGTGCATAGCAAACAACATTTTAGAAAGAAAAAAAAACTATTAGGCTTCAGAAAATGAAATAATCGGGAATCCCGAGTAACCAGCCGAGCTGCTAGGACGAGGGAAGCAGCTGAAAGCAGGCTGCCTAGGACTTGGAGATGGCTCGACCAGCAGCCCAGGAATAAATCTCAGGAGGGTTTGTTGGACCATTAGCCAGCAAGTTATGCGGCACTCCACCACACACATCAGAAACATCAAGGTGATGGTGGTGGTGGTGACGACCGCCGTTCTGGTAGTGCTGATTCTGCTGCATAACAGCTGCAGCAATCTCATCCTCATCCAAAGGCAACCTATCAAAAGTCGCATTCATGAACGATGCTGCCATCACCACCACAGGACCGGAAGCTATCAGCGCCCCAACCACTCCACCACCAACCACCTGGCCCTGGGCACCAGCCAGGTAGATGGTCAGGCCCGTGATCCCGGATGGCGCTGGAGGTGGCAGGATTGAGCCAAGCAGAGAAAGAATCTCAAACCGGCCATGGAGTGTCACTATGGCCCCAGACGAGGTTGGTTGCCGCAACGTGACATTGGTCACATACCCGCTACCGCTGAGGACGCATATCCCACGCTGCCGCCTTCTCGCATAGTTGACTAGGCTCTCACTCACATCGCAGCCAGAGCTGACCTCCATTGCATGGGCACGAAGGGCATTGGCGCTGTCTCGAGTGACAATGATTGGTGGCTTCGGCTTGTTCTTCGAGCCAGCTGGCCTTCCCCTAGGGCGCCTAACAGCTTCCCCTTCCGGTGCAGGGGAAACAGAAACCGGGGTTACAGCCTTGGGCAGCTTAGGCGACCCAAAGCTTGCCGCCTCAATGCTCAGCCTGTGATGATTGTTAACCTTATGGTCAGAATCATGGATGCAGTCCATTGTGCTTTTGTACCCTAAACCAGGAGTGTTTTGATCTGCCCCTCCTGCAGCCATTCATAAAAGGATAAAAGAAGAGAGTGAGTTTTTGCATGAACAGCATCCAACAGCAACCCACAGTTTAAGTAGTAGATTGTGCTGTAATAAACATATGGTAGAAAGCAAAAGGAATGACGAGAATTAGGAGAAAGTTAAGTGAGATTTCTAGTTTTCTATATTAACTCATCTTTTACTGCCTAACACCTAACTGACACTTCCCTCATGCAATTGCCTTCTCCCAACAGATATCAATATCTTACATTATAACATGTATACATTCTGTTCAAGGTAATGCATTTTGGTGAGTGCGTTCCACCTACTAAAAATTGTCATATCTACAATAAAATGTAGAAAGGAAAGGAGGCCAAACGTACCAGTAATGGGTGGTCACGTCATGGTTGAGCTTTCCAAAGACATCAGAGAATCAATGAACGGCTGATTCCTTCAGCTCTGAACCTGCAGAACATTACTTGGGCAAATGTTTTTCCACCAGAAAAAACAAAGGTGAAGTAAAAAATGAAATTGCATGTGCAGGCACGGCGTTATAACTCACAAAAAGCTACTATGGATCTCAGACGAACCCGGTATATGATATTAGAATGAAGTACCATATTGCTGCCTACAATATAAACAGAAAATATTACTTCCAGTATGTACAGTGGGAAAGGGAGCTGAACCCCTGAACTATCTGAATTCTGAAGACATCAAATCTAAGACACCTAATTCCCGCTTTCAAAATCCCTACAAAAAGAACAATAGCCCATGAAAAAAGGCCTCAACACCTATGAGTAGTTTTGCCCCCAAATTTGCTGCTGCTTGGATGAAGGATCTTGTAAACGATTAAAACTAACAGCGTCAATCCATTGTTCTTGGGCGGTCCTTGCTTGAGAAGGATACGAGCTGCCATATCCAAGAGCACCATAGTCCTGGGGAAACTGCTGCTGGTCTTGCTTATTAGATCTAGGAAGCAGTTGACTATATCCGTGTAAACCGTAATACTGGCTGTCTGGAATGGCTGATAAAGTTGTTGCATCTGGCCCACAGTCCCATGGAGAAGAATTGTCATTCTGGAATTTGTTCCAAGAGTAGGAAAAATTAGCTCAATAGGAAGAAACACATGGGAAATATATTAAAAAAAAAAAACCCAAAACGGAAGATAGAAGGAACTCAAACAGGCCCTAAAAGTTTTACCAGTTGGAGTGAGGGTAAATTAATTCCACCATTAAACGAAGAACGCAAAGTATCACCATATCCGACAGCAGAAGCAGAACGATTGGAGGATAAATCATCAGGAAAGTTCCCTCTATAGTTGGGCTGCCTTCCAAACCCTCCATATCGAGAAACATCAGCAGCATCTGGCTGAGGGAAGTTACTCCGAGAAGAATCCCCCTCGAACAGTTTGAGGTTCTTTATCCTCACAAAATCATTGAATGAAGAGATCTCGTCATATGCATGCTGCAAAGAGGATGACGAACTGTGAGCATAATTCGGAGAGAGAGCTGCATATCCCGTCAACTTTGCCAATTCTTCCAAGCTTAGAGCAGGTTGGGAGAATGGTTGTGATGTTACATGCTGCGGCAGTGCAGGCTCCCTGGGAAGACTACTGCCAGGGTGCAAATAAGATGTTGGTAATGCATGGGTAGAAAAGTTCAGAATCTGCATAGACAAGGTGTGCATAGATGTGAGGCGTTGCAATTAAGATAGATAAGTGTTTGATGTCCCATGTCATTCCAGGACAACAGCCTGGGAGCTGAATATAGTAAATAATAAATCTCAAATGAACAAGCCAGTAGGATAATTGGTAATGAAATAGAGACGAACTAAATAAGAAGTTACAAAGACAATAAAGTTCATTCAAGTAGTACCTCTGGATTCAAAATGGATGAACTACCAGTTGATGGTGGAATACTTCCATAGCGTGAAGGGGGGATTTGCTGGGTTGAGCCAAATGCTGAAAGTAGGTCATTATGGTTTCTCACAGATTCCGCATTAGAGACCAATAACTCAATGGGCAAGGTCTTCGAATTCATGTGCTGCAAGAAGATGTGTAGAGTCAAGATCAAATATTCCCAGACCGACCTCGACAAGATGAGCTTTCAAGCTTAAGCAACCAACATAAAACAAGTGTCAACCTTCAGCTCGTAAGAACATCAAGAGCAACAACATATAACAAAAGACAGAGAAGGTGCGAGAAAACAGCCCATCAGAAAATATTTCTTAACAGTGGAAATGCCAGTAAACTAAGGCCTCCTTTGAAAAGCAATTTCAAAGCAATTCAACTAAGAGGAAGGGGAAAAGAAAGCATTACAAGCATAAGCCATCACATGCAAATTAGAGATAATGACATGATTTTTTGAATTTCATCATCCATTTTTTAGCTCCCATGTCTACCCACTGACGCATGCAAAACTTAGTTCCAAAACTATTTATACTTGCCACTTGCCAGAGGCGTTAGCTGTGTTGGACAACAAGATAAGCAGCATGGAGTTAAGAAGATAACCAGTTCTTGGTGGAGGGGAGGAGTATTCAAAGCATTTGGATGCATCATAATAGATGATGAAGTACTGTTGTCGTGGAATTTCCCAGAACTCGAATCAGCCACAGATAACTGGGAGAAATATTCATGCTGCTGAGCAGCTCCATGAAGACTCCCATCTATCAACTCTGGCTGTACCCGTAATGGAAAGCCAAGGTTCGTAGCACCATCAGTCAACTGGGAAGTCTTCCTCGTGGACCCAAGATGATCAGGCTTCAGCGAATCACCAGGGGACCCGAAATTCCTGCACAAGATACATTAGAGGTCAATATAACGAGTGACACATAAAGTCTCCAGCCATTAAAATTGTTGCCCTGGATCAACATACAAAGATGGTGAAGTATCCGTAGCTGCAAATGAGTTGCTCCTCACTGAATCAGACATCACAGGCCCCAAAATTGGAGGATGCAGCCCAGATTTATACGTTCCGAAGCTCAAATGTGAGCAGTCGGCAGCAAAAGCTTGCATATAGTTTGGGAACACCACACCATGCTTGTCCTCTGATTTAACCTCTGCAGGCTTCTCCTCCAAACTCAGTTGCTGTAAGCCCTCAGCACCCAATATTCCAGAGGTACTGCTTACAGATGCTAAATGAGTTTTACTTCCTGTTTTGGCATTTGGGAAAGCAGAATCAGAATATTGAGGAACACTATTCTGCTGTATTTACGTCTACGCCAAAAATATAGTTACTAACATCTAGAAATAGCAAGAGCCAACTAAATATTGACCAAACAGACCTTGGATGTGAATACATATTGGTGTAGTAGATCAACAATAATTATATGAATACATTATTTTCAAACTACTTGTTCTAATAGGTGACGTTGGCCTCAAGGTTCATACTTAACATCCAACCCATTAGCACCAGGTCAACTCCTTGGGGTTGATTTTCAAACAACTTTTAACTGAACTTTTTTGCCAAGCTCATGTGGGTAAGAGCCAAAGCAAACCATTATAAAAGCAAAAGCACAGGACATGATACAGATGTCAGCAGAATACAAATCCACATTCAACCGCCAAGATACTTGACATCATAGCATATTTCTTGCAAAACTGCTCTTTCATGGTTTGGATAATTCTAACTGATAGTATAGAGGCGCTCACAATAAGACTGGTAACTTAGTGTAAAGACAAGCTCAACACAAGTGAGGCACGAAAAAAGATGAAAGCATGCCATATTTGCAACACAGGAAGCAAAGAGAACTGAGAAGGCATAAACCTCTGATGGTTCATGGAACATACAAGATCAGCAACACATAACATTGAAAATGTATTTTCCTACTCCTAAATGGTGCCAGCTTCATAATGGTTTTTCATGGACTAATGGCTGGACACATAGGAAAGAGCTATTGCAAAGGAACATAAGACAGTCTGGCTATTTTAGAATGCATGGTAGGCATCATACGTCATAGGACAAAAGCCAAAACCATTTAGTGAATCCTAGAAAGTCAAATCTTTACATGAAACCTCATCAGAACTTCACATACCACTGGTAACAGAAACGGGAACTGATTTGACAAACTCCATGCCGAGATGTTTGGGAGCATCCTCCTCCAATACTTTGCATGTATTGGAGGAGCTATCTGCCGATAATTCAGATCCACGGCTATGTGCGTAACACTGAGTAGAAAATCTATCCAAAACCGGAGAACTGGAGCAATTAAATGTAGATGGATGACCCGTTCTCCGTTCCATCAAAAGTCGCTCATTATCATACCCATTCTGACTTGGAAGTGTAACAGATTCACGAGTAACATCTGAACCATTTGGCAGAAGTGCATATTCCACATTTTGGTCCATTTCTGGCGGAGAGGGTGAAGTTATAAGAGAGCTACTAAAAAACCCATCATAATTAGCATCTGACAGTGAGTGGGATGATGTTCCAACAGATGTTTGTATACCCTTTGATTGAGGCCCTCGCATCCTAACAATGTCAGCCATGGAAACATGTCCAGATGAACCTCCTAACCCAGCGGATTGGGAGACTAGAGAGCCTTGTGCAGATGAATCACCAGGTCTTACGTTCTTTCTAGTATTCTTACCTTCAAATGAATCACTGCGATGCAAGATACAAGATCCAATAAATACAAAATACTTCAAAATATCAAACAAGCAGAAACATATTGATGAGATACAATGATATGGACCAGTATAGAGTCACTAATACGCTTGTTTCCCAATGAGAAATAAAGCAAACAAAGAAAGATAACAAATATATTTCCATCAGCAAATTTTCCCAAAGTAGTGCTCGTTTTTGGAGCATATGACTTGTGTGACTAACGTGAAAGAAAGCTACTTGTCAGGGACCAGAAATTGTCAAGCCTCTATACAATGGATACTGCAATCTGGAGGCCTTCGCAAAATAGACCTAGCATTGAAAATAACTGTTTACAGCAGCACAGTAGTACCATCACTGCCTCCATGTTCATTATTATCCCACATTAGAGCATAGCCAAGTCAGGTTTAAATGGGAATCAAAATAGAAAATTTTGAAACATGAACTTGTACACCGAAGAAAAGAAGAAAACTAATTATGTTTTCCAGCTAATGATGCTCCATAGAGAGAAGGAATATAAATAGAACAAACCTATGAGATGAAGGCCAGTCAATAGGAGTTTTCACTTCATATGTCAAAGAAGATGAAGGTAAGACAGGACCAGCAGACCCATTATCTCTCCTGTATGCAGCTTTACTAAGCTCTGCTGGGAAAGAAGTTCAAGTGATGAGACCTCAAGACTACAATAGACTTAATGAAACAAAGTAATCAACTATCATGAAATGAAGGAGCTCCAGAGTAAAACAAACATATAAACCCACCATTATAGCCAGATTGAGATTGAACCTCTCCAACAGTACGCTCAGCATTAACTTTAGCTCCAAGGTGACTACTATCGCCCCGGCTCTTCAAGTTCTGTGTGTCCTTCATCTGCGAAATTGAAGTAAACATTTGCGGAGATGAGAAAAGTAAGAAGCGACAAAACAGCAAGCAACACCCATATAATTAGTGGAAGTACCCTGAGAAGGCCTCTCATTCTTCTAAGAAAGGCATGGTACACTAATCATCAAAATAGATAACTGAGAACGGACTAGAGAGATGAGCAAGTGATGAATTCACTTTCTTTAACCACTTGAAAAAATTTGAAAATAAACAAGGAAAATAAAAGGAGGATAGAGCAGGGCGGGTACTTTCACAAGGGTACCTCTTTTCTTCTTTCACGTTTGCTTTTCACTTCATGAAAAATATCTACACAATTGAAAACTATTAATTAAATAAGAATCCAAAAAATACTCCCAAGTCTTAGTGTGCATAAGAAATGCAATAATGTCACCGGACGGAAGAAGGAAATACAAGTCGAGAGCTGAGACAGCTATCTAAACAAGCAGACCGAACCAACGAAAAACTTAACCACATAATCACGGAAGCCCACCGACGCCTACAAGCTCTATCACTACAGCTGAAGACATTTCGGAGGCCTGAAGAGCAACAAAGCTATAAAGAAGAATCTACCAAACATAGCTGCTACAAAATAAAAGTATTACTCCACTGCTCAGTATTCTGAGCTTCAGTTTTTCAGACCACAAACAGAACCAGTTTTCTTTTCTCGCCGGACAAGAATCATTCTGAACCCTTTTGCTCCTCACATAATAGAAACAGATTCCGGCCACAGGAACGATATTAAATTTTTATTCCAACAACTAATGCACTATCAAACAAAACAGAATAACAGAGAGCCATGGCTTTTGAAAGTAATCCATTTTCAATTTTATTTTCAACCGAAGAAACAAACAGCCAATGAGTTTCGCTCGGCCGAGAAAAAATCACAAGACTCTTACTTTCTTGGAACCCTAGAATTAACATTATGAAAATAAGCGGGGACGAAGCACAAACTAAAACCACCACAAAAACCCTAAGCTACTTTATATTTCCTCCGCCACACAAATAACAGAGCAGGGAAGAAGCGACCGAATCAGAAAAGAAGGAGAAAAGCAAGCAACAAGAACCTTGGGACAGCAACTTCTGGACGGCGTCGTTTGGGTCCATGTCACAGTCCCGAAGAGCGGCATAGATCTCGGCGTCGGTATAGTTGCCGTTGTTTACAACCTCCTTCAAGCTCTGAAAAATCTTCTTGTGTTCCGCCGGTACTTGCTGCACCGACGCGCCGCCGCTGCCATTGTTGCTTCTGCTGTCGCTTTCACTCCCCATTGCCGCCCCCCAGTAAAGAAGAGAAGGCCGTTGTCACAGTTGGCTGCTCCTGCTCCTCCCTCTTACGTTAAACGATTTGTACCAGAAAGGAAAAGGGAGAATACAAAAACCTATTCCTTCCTTTACTCCTATCCCCCTCTCCCACTCTTTTTCCCCTTTCGCTATTTTCTTTCTTTCTGGTATGTATTTTCTTGAAAATGAAAAATTTTGCGTTTTTGTCATCGTATTATTATTATTATTTCTTTTATCTTCTTTTCAATTTTCTGATCCACTCTAAATTTCTATTCTTTTTTTTTCATATACTTTTCTGCTTATTTCGAGTTTTTCCTTAGGTAGGGTTCACAGCTTAGTGCTTACCAGTTACCAAGTCCGCTCAAGGTCGACTCCAGAAAAGTAAATCTATTAGGCTAGGCCTGCACACTTTCAGCGTCGGTCCATCTACGACTGGGCCTAGACCGGCACAGTGTGTATCCATTATGGGCTTTATCTTCTTCTTTTTGTTTTGGTAAATACAATTTGGGGTAAATAGCAAAGATTAGTAAATAAGATTATTAAAAAGATTCATGTTTGGTCACTAAAAATATTTAATTTCGTTCGTAGTCATTAGAATTAATCAAACCATCCAAGTTTGGTCACTGTTCGTTACCTTCCGTCCATCTTTGTTAACGCCGTCAGTTTTTTGTTGACGTGGCTAACGAAAGTAACTAATTAGCTAATTTTAGTATAAAATAAAACCAACTTGCCATGTCATTAAACCAGCCCAATAAGATACCCAACTCAATCCAACCGAACCCTTGACCTGACCCTTCCTCTTCTTCCTCTAGTTGATCCAACCGAGAAAAAATCATCTCCATTTCACCTCTACCATCAATGTCACGTCCCTCAATCCCAAGCTCTCCATCTTCTCAACTGTGCAATCTCCATTTCCTCCCTCGATCGCTTACCATTCTTCCCAAAGTATCCTGATCCAGTTCTCCATCGCCTCTATCAAAACCCATATCTGAACCCCCCAGCTTTTACCTTATGTCGTTGTATTTATAGAGAACACTATCGCTCTGTTTGGCAACAAGGGTGCAAATTGCAGGAGGGTGGAAATTGAGGGGTAAATTGCTGGGGGTGCAAATTGCTGGGGGGGTGTAAGTGGAGGGGTAAATTGTTGTTTGGATGAAAAAGTAGGAGGGTGCAAATAAAGTGTAAAGTAAGTAATTATATTATTTTAAAATAGATTTTAAAATTATAAAGTATTATCATAAAATAATAAAATAAATATTACTATATAATAATAAATATACTTTACTAAAAATAGTTATTATATAATAATGCTCAAATAATAATTAATTATAACAATTGTAATAATCATTGATCGAGCGATCTCAAAACTCGAAGCTCAACTCCTAACTGGTCATCCTATATAGGGTTTTCGTGTCTAGTTTAATCTTAAATTGTCAAACTTAGTCAAACACGTTCGAAGTTATAAGTTTTAACTATTTAGTCAAATAAAATGAGTTAACCAAACAATTTCTCTCTATCTTTTCCACAAACACCTTGTATATCTAATTTTCAATGCAAATTCGATTCAACCAAGAGATCTAGATTTGACTTGACGAACATTTATAAACTTGTTTCCAGAGTCAAATGGTCAACCCCGAATAATGTTTACATTAATGATATTTATAAAAAGAAGAAATTGATAATATTAATTATTATATAATTATATATAACACAATTAGAAAAACAAAATTCCATAATTCCCCCCTCCCCCTCTCTTTCTTCCTTCCTTTGCACCCCAATTCGGGGGGTAAGCCGAAACAGTAAATTTGCACTCTCGTTTTGCACCCCCCTACTGTTCCAAATTAACCAAACAGGTGCAAATGTGTTGGAAACTGTGTTTACCCCTCACATTTGCACCCTCCTCCCATTTACCCCTCTTCCCAAACAGAGTGTATATTTCTGGAGAAGACTTCGAAACACAATACCCAACAGGTGGTTCTGAGTCAGCCTCTGTTTACCGCCCTTTGCTGCAGAGGCGACGGTGAGCGAATCCAAAGAATAGCAAGCAGATTGAGGACAAGCCAGAGGAGGGTGACCACGAAAGTCAAGAGCCCCAATGACGTCGACGTTCCCAGAGGAGCAGCCACTAGCGCGCGACCCAGATCCATTTTACCTATTGTTCATCAAGTAGATCTGCATCGTTGGAAGCCGTCGCGCCACCATCTACGCCGCCAGAGCATATATAAATCCCAAAATTTGCTGGAGAACGAGAGACTAGCTTTGTTATTAATTGGTAGGTTTATTGACGTGGAGTTGTTGATGGGTTGGGATGGTTTAATTGATGGGTTTGATTTACAAGGTTGGCTCTTATGATTTGGCAGATTTATTGACGTGGCGTTTAGGTTTTACTCTTTTCATATTAAATTTTGGTGACTCAACACTTATGTTAGCCACGTCAGCAAAAAAACTGACGGTGTTAACGGAGACTGATGGAAGGTAACGGAGAGTGACGAAATTTGCACGGTTTGATTAATTCTAGTGACTACGAATGGAATTAAATATTTTTAGTGACCAAACATGAATCACTTTAGTAATTCCAGTGACCAACTTTGCAATTTACTCAATACAATTTAATAGTCAAACCTTTCATTTTTAAACAAAATAATAGCCAAATCTTTTTAAAAACAAAATAGTAGCCAAACCGTTAACTTTTCATCCGCTCAAATGTCAGTTGACTATATGTGGCAAAGTCATTGCTAAGTTGGCACCGAATTTTTTTAATGAGTGAGTTGGCAACAAATTAAGACGTGTCACCTTTTAATTAATTTAAAGAAAAAATCTAGACTATATATAATGCGTTTTCATGGGTCTAGAATCGGCCATTTCAAAATCCCAAGCATGAGAGCGTTTCTCGGTAGGTCATTAAAAGGAATTTCACCACAGTAATTACACGCCGCGTTTTGTCCCTATATTTGCTCCCGCACTGCGTGCCTTCAATCAATTATCATTTTCTCTTTTTATTTTTCATTTCCTTTTCTCTTCTCCCCACCTCTTCTTCGCTTCAATCCTTAACCCCTCTGCTGCTGGTGCTTTTTACCTCTGCTGCAGTCGAAACTTTTCACCTCTTCCGCACTTCAATCCTTAAACCTTTCTCGAGCTTTTCACCTATGTAGATAAGTAGTGGACTGATCAAGAGAATTGTCGTTTAAAACAAATTCCCCGAGAGACTAAGAATCTCCGATAATTTTCTTGTTGCAGGAGAGGATGAGAAAAATCTACAATTGCCTCTCTTTTTCAGTGACGAGTGTCGACCGAGTGGCATAAGGGAGGAAAACTCTAATTCCCATTGTAGCCAACCGATGGCAGACCGTCCGATTCATTCCAGACCAGGTCTCCTAAACGAACAACATCAACCCAGTTTGCAGAAGGAAATGAGAAAACACAAAACTTCACCTGTCTCTCTCGGTGTCCTCTTCAACCACTGAACTTCGGTCCCAGTTCTCAAATCGCTAATGTTTCTTTCTTATTCTCCCACACTTAACATTTGGGCGGCAATTCGACCTTCACCCTCTGTGTCAATCTCCTAGTCGGCGTCTCCCGCTCAATCACTTTCACCTTTTACCGTTCTTGGCATACCCCCCGCTCTACAATCCTTCCATGGTACAAGTTGTCCAGAGGACTTCCTCCCTGACGACTTAGCTATTATCTGCTCTTAAGCTCTTCACGCTCTCGGACCTTTAATTAATTTACATCGAGTCTCGAGGTGTTATGAATAACGAAGGGGAGAAGGGGTTAGAATTGAATTCATTGTTGTGCTCTAATAAATGAAGCGGTAGCATGGAAATCATATAGGGAAACGAAATATAGCACTTCGAATCCGCTATGAAAAATGACAGATTGGGCCGTTATTTGGGTTGAGAAGGGATAAGGAATGAGAAAATCTATGGTGGATTGGGATTCCTAAGGATAAGACCATCACACATGGACATCTATATTTGACTTATTTATTATTTTTTAGATTATAGGTGATTTTTGTTTTATACTTTACATTATTTGATTACAAATATGTAGTATTAGAAACATTTTTCATATATTAGGGTAAATTTGGGCTATCTGGGATAAGTTTGAACTATTAAACTAAATCGATTCGACCATTATTTTTTAACTCACTTTGCATGAACGGGTTGTTGGTTGAAAAATTAATCATTACTTCATCTCATATAAACTTATTAAACCATTTCAATGAAAATGCATAGTTTATTGAAAATTTTGTCAATAAAATAAGGTCATTGTGAAGTATACAGCGAGGCCTATATGCTAAACTGCAACTTCAATTTAAGCTCTTTCTCGGATCATAATGAGTCTCAACTCATTGTTAATTGCTTGATTTCAAACCATAAAGTTGCACACTCATTCACTGGTTAGTGAAAAATTTGTCAATAAATAAGCTCGTCAATAAAACTAACCGTTCATTTCATACGAATGTTAAGAATGTCCGCCTTTATCTTCATATTCGTCTTCATTAACTTAGTAATTTGACACGATATTTGTTGCTCATGATTCTTAAAATGGCCACATGACTATTTTTTTTATTTGGTTTCTCTATTAAACTAAGTTATAATGTGACGCTCTTTATTTTGCTTTCCAAATTATCAAAGAATTATACAACGCATTTTTTTGTGCAACTGGTCGAGTTTCTATGTAACCAACGAACTTGATTCAACAAACATGATTAGTTCAAAAGCTAAATTCAGTTCAGCAAACTTATATGAATCTGATACCAATTTCAGCACTCTATAAATATGATAAATTAGTTTTTATTTACCTACACCCCATCTATGCATGAATCCCTTCAACTTCAATGACTTCACAATTTACAAGTTTTTCATTAGTTGTTATCCCTTCTCTAATAAATGTATTATATGCGATGCTTAATTCCTTTAATTTTGTTTTCGCGCTGCATAGTTTCTATTACGATCTCATTCACATCAATCAAGGCTAAGATTTTTTTAATCTCTTATAGGGAAGATACTATATTGTTCTTAGGTATGTCTCGCATCAAACACCATTATACATAGTGATCCGTCTTAATTATATAATGTAATTCCATATCTATAAACCATATGATGTTTAAATCCAAGTGAGGTATTTATTGGGAGAAATACTAAGTCGAATCACTAAGTCCCATTAGAAGA